GTGTGTGTGTGTGTGTGTGTGTGTGTGTGTTTGCTTATCAATTACCATCTCAATCTACTGAGGCACTGACAGGTGAAGTAACTCACAAGGTCAAGATTTGAATCTGGACAATCTGGCTCTGGAGACCCCCACTCCAATGGGTAGAGTTTCTCTGCCAGCCCTCTGAGCTTTGATAGCAGGAAGGAGGGGCCCCTCCAACAGCGAGGCCAGAGGAGGGTTCTGGGAGGAAGGGGGAAGAGGCAGGCTCACCTTCCTCCAGTCCATGATGTCCTTCAGCCTGCGGAAGAGGAAGATGCCTTTCCCCTGCGACCGGGCTACCTGGGGAGTGGTGGGGGCAGAAAGCCAGCTCTTAGCTCTGCATGGTTCCTTGTTTGGCTCCCCTGGCTGGGGCCTCTCCCCAGCATCTCTGTCTCTTTTCCCCACCAGCCCCCAGCTCTCCCCAGAGGAAGGCTAGCTGAAGGGGCTGGAACAGAGAAGGTGCTAACCCTGGCAGAGGGAGAGAGGAAAGGGAGGGGAAGGGGAAGACTGACTTAGCTCACAAAGATGTATATTTGCATGAATAATGCAAAAGAACAGACAATTAAAAAGCCATTTCTAACAGTCCTGGGAACATATCATCTGATTCTTTTTTTGGAAATCAATTTGCCTTCCTAATTAGGGTTCGCTTCGGCTAATACTGAAATCAGCCTGGCTTTACTGTACCCCAGCATGGATAATTCATAGCTGCACAGAGTCAAGGGGCTAGAAGAATCTTTGATCTCATACAGAGTGGTCCTCAGCAAGGCATTACTCCCCTTCTACCACCATAGAAGGACGACAGTCTCCCACCTGGCCTTTCACACCCACAGTGCCTAGGAACTCACTACCTCCCCCAACCCACGCCAAACATAGCTCATTTTGTTACAGGATAGCTTTGTTAAATAGTCATCCAAAGGGTATATATGAGGTGCATACTGTATGTTGGGCATTATGCAATAACCCAGACCTCATGGAACACAGCCTAACTTGTGTTGAGCTAAAATTGGCCAGTCCGGCTTTGGCTCCTAGGACCTCCTAGGAGCTGATTCCTGGGTACCAAAAGAGTCTTTTAAGTATCTGCAGCCACTGAGCAGGTCCCCCAGGTCATCTTTCCTCCAGCAAATGTGCTAACTCTTATTTCCTTCTGTTCTCCTCTGAGCATGGCCCACCTGGCCCACCTGAGGCTCTCTGTCGGGGCAGGCAGGGCTGTCAGGTGTGGTGGCACAGGTTGTCTACTGCTCTGCCTGCGCTGTGCACCCTGCTTCAGGGTTGTGTGTGCCCAGAAGGCTGGGTGCCAAAAACACTATGGAGCACTGGTGGTGGCTCAGGGGCAGCCAAGTGTGCACCGCAGTTTCAGAAAGCAACTACTCAGTGTGCACCAGGAGCTTCCGACAGTTCACAGCCTTGCAGAAGGTTTGAACAGGCATTTTATGAAAGAAGATGACCAGTGTAAACGTGTCACAGGCGGGGCACAGTGACTCACATCTGTAATCCCAGCACTTTGGGAGGCTGAGGTAGGAAGACTATTGAAGCTCAGGAGTTCAAGACAAGCCTAGGCAACGTAGTGAGACCTCGAGACCTCGTCACTACTAAAAATAATTTTTAAAAATAGCCGGGTATGGCTGGGTATGGTGGTTCACACCTCTAATCTCAGCACTTTGGGAGGCCAAGGTGGGTGGATCACTTGAGGTCATGAGTTTGAGACCAGCCTAGCCAACATGGCAAAACCCCATCTCTACAAAAAATACAAAAAGTAGCTGGGCGTGGTGACACGCACCTGTAATCCCAGCTACTCGGGAGGCTGAGAGGCACAAGAATCTCTTGAACCCAGGAGGTGGAGGTTGCAGTGAGCCGAAATCATGCCACTGCACTGCAGAGTGGGTGACAATTTCAAGACTTCGTATAAAAAAAAAAATAGTTGGGTGTGATGGTGCATCCCTGTAGTCCCAGCTACTTGGGAGGCTGAGGTGGAAAGATGACTTGGGCCCAGGAGATTGGGGCTGCAGTGAGCAGGGATTTACCACTGCACAGCCTGGGCAACAGAGTGAGACCCTGTCAAAAGAAAGAAAGAAGAAAGGAAGAAAGAGAGAAAGAGAGAGAGA